TTTGAGAATAAGATGGTGATGCACTTTTAAACTCTTGCCCACATGTTTCTATAGGATCGGAGAACCATTTTCTACAATTCTTGGATGTATGAAATCAAAATTTTCTACACTAAACTCTCCTTACTTCTTACTCCGTACTTTCTATGAAATTTTGGGCATTAAATGCAACAATCCATATAGGGTCTAACAGAGACTGCGCAGGGGTAATGCTGTGAATGTCTTGGCTCCCCACATCCCAACGGAGTTGGGATTTGGGATTATAGTGGGTTTGCTGTATTCAATCAACCTGGAATGATTTGCATACTAGAAAAATTGTCGAACTCGTGTAGACTCTTTTATATTGTTCAGTAGAGCTATATTTCACTAAAATGATATATGTCAACAATCTGAGCATCATATATATTATTCATCAATTCAATCCTTGTTAACTAATGTTTCGGGTTTTGTAGGCTGAAGAAAGACACACAGAGATCTTAGGTCATCTTCTCTTTGCTGCCAAAGTTGTACCAGAGAAGGAAGGAATCCTTGACGGCTTTCGGGTTGTTATCAACAATGGCCCTCAAGCATGTAAGTCTATTATTCCTTGCCAAATATATTCCCTCATGGCTTCAAAATGAAGAAGTTTTTGTTCATCTGTTTCTTACACGTCAATCTGTTTACCATCTTCATTTGCACGTACTGGGCGGGAGACAGATAAAATGGCCTCCGGGCTAAGATTCAAATTTTATATACAGGAAAGGAATATCATAATGACAATTATCCTTTAGGCTGCATCCTCAGCTTTCCAAACTTTTATTATTAATTCTGTTGATAAATCTCTCACCCACAGCTTTTCGTTGGACAATCTTGTCCAAACCCAGACCCATTGGGTTATACCCTACGGGCATCATTGGGTTGGATATAGTTTAATTAATCCTGCCTTGACTTCACGGAGTTTTAAAGAGTAAAAAAAGAGAGAGACTGTGAGCCACATGTTTTTACTTTATCAGGAAAGTAAAAACATGAGAAATATTTTAGAACGAGCTACAAAGAACAATGGAACGATTTATTCAGTACATCGAGTACAAAAATAGGTAGAAGTGAGCATGGTATGTTATGGTACCACAACAAGTTTGTACTGATATCACACCACTTTAATCGGTTCGGTATGACTATGAGATTTTGGCGGTATTTTCTCTGTGTTGGTGCTTAATGGTTTATTTCTGATAAGGACAATTTCCACTTATAAGTTGCTTATAAGTCAAATATTCTTTTATGGAAGTATAAAAACTTCAATGACAAAAAACTATTTATAAATATTCATAAATAGTAAGGAATAATTTTGCTAATAATCTGGTCAAAATGAAGAAAAGAAAAAACTAGTTTAAAAATAAATAGCAAGGACTAATTTATTATTTCTAGCTTATAAGTAATTTATAAGTGAGTTTATAAACACATAGAAGCATGTTATCAATTAACTTATAAGTTAAAAATTGTTTATAAGCAGTTTTGACCAGTTTATAAGTATAGAGAAATATCCATTTTATATTTATCGATATTGATTAGGGGTGAGCAGATTAATCGGGCCGACCGTTAAATCGAAAATCGAATTAACTGTTAAATCGATTCTGGTTTTGATTTTCCATAATTAAAAATTCAATTTGTTCTAGTACTTTGGTTCGGTGTCGATTTTGTGTATCGGTTTATTTTGTTATCCGAATAATCGTTATATTGCAAGATTCCCATGACATTGGGAACCAATGTAATGGGATGACCCGGGGGTGCTCCGGTGCCTCGTTGTGTGTGTGTGTGTGCATGTATAAAAGCTTTGAAGATCTTCTTGAATATTGCCCCTCCTGTGAATTCTTTGGACACAAAAATTGTAAAAATGTCACAAAATCCTCTAGATGGGTGGTGAAAGACCCACCAGGGACTCGGAATACAACACTTGCTATAATCGTCCCTCTGTTGATGCCCCAAACTAAACTGCTCAGGGTGGACACCACTTTGAGACCTGTGGCAAAGCAAATGAAAATGATGAGGAGACAACTACTGTGGAAACATGTACTGCCCAGGTTGAAACAAATTTGATACAATTTGATGCTAATGAAACCCTTGAACATGATCACGAGGCACAATTTGCTACAGACATGACTACAAATAAGGCAAGAGTTGAAGCTTTGGCAACCACCATTGATAATGGTAGGGATGTTAAGTCTTCTGACCAGCTGTCAGTGCTGAAGACAAAGTTGTGTTGGTAGAGATTGAACAAATCTGTGTTGCTGAGGATGCTTTGGAGAAGAACCAAAATCGAAGTGACACGAACCCTAATTCCAGAATTGAGAAAACCTGTGAGGCACACAAGCTGTCCCCCAAGACACATTTGGAAGGCACACAGTACGAAGAAGAATTCACATCCCTCTCTAAAGAGTCTTTAACTGCTACAATGGATGAAATTCCAGCCCATAGTTATAATAGTGATGCACACACTCTTTCCATCAAGAAAGAGATGGATGTCACACTATCCCCTTCAATCAATGGAGATGATGAGACTATTTCTAATCCTACACATAGCACAAATCTTTCCCCACATGTAACTATTGTTGCAGGTTATGACCCAACTACTATTGGCCTTGTTCTTCACTCTTTTGAGGTGGATGGACAACACTATGAAGTCAAGTCCTACATTGAAGAAGGGGAGACAAGTAACCAAAGGGAGGAAACACCTAATGACTTCCAAGATGTCTAGAACAGACGCAGCAAAAGACCGGGGAAGAGGGGAACTGCACCAAGGACAATTAAAACTAGAAGCTATGATTCAAATCTTAAAGTTGGAACGGTGAGCGAGATCACTAGACACTGGCCTAGTCGCAAATCAACCACAATGGAAAAAATCATCACTCCTAAAAGTTACTCTGTGCCCTTTTGGTATGTTGGACGCGTCAGCCCAATAAGGGCAGATGGGAAAAGACCAAAGAAAATAATGCCAAGAAACCTCTCATTGTGTAACACCCCAGCCCCCACCCTGGTTGTAAGTGTTTGCTCATAGGATTGTAGACTGGCCCCACAAACCAACACAAGTCTTTCCCGCGCACTTTGTCCTCACTCGTGCGCGCCCAAGTAAACTTCCCACGGGGTCACCCATCCTAGAATCACTCTAAGTCAAGCACACCTAACTTTGGAGTTTCTAGGTGATGAGCTCTCGAAAAGAAGATGCACCTTGTTGGTATGAATAGTACCATCAATCCTTTTTGAGCTCTTCTCATTCCCATCTTAATACGGGGTATTACATTCACCCCCACTGTAACGCCCCAAAACATACCTTAGAATTATTAATAGATAATTATTAAAATAAATCAAATTTGTTTTAGTTAAAATAAATTGTTATGGGCTTTGGGCCGATAAAAATATGTTTTGATATCCCATATCATAATCAGGATAAATCTCATAGAGATAAATCCAATTTATTGACTGTTTGTGTGGTCTTGATTGGGAACCTGAGTACAGATCCAAATCAAGAATAAATGAAGAAATTAGTTATGATGTGAACATTAAAATGATTTATTGAAATAAATGATGAGAATAATTAATATGAATTAAATATGAGAACCTTTTAAATAAAGGTCAACTGAATCAATTTTTACTCTATCAAAGTAAACCACCCAAAAATATGATGTCGGAAAAAGTATTACAAATAATTATGAAAAGTATATCGTTGAATAGAATTCGACTGTCTGATCGCAACGGTGCGAACGGATTTCAAGTCAGAGAAAGTTGGACCAAAAAGTGTACCTCGACTAGAACCAAAATTGGTCCCAATCAGAGAACTGTTCAGTCGGCGCCTCCGAACGCACTAGCCGATCAATCATCATCATCTTGCATCTTCTTCTTCCTCAACACTCTATATAAGAAAACCCAACTCACTCAATTCTTCACCATTTCTCACAAAACTTCTTCCTAGTCTGTTGCTCTAAGTAAGGAGAACGCAGTGGTGCCGTCAATTTGGTGAGAGGTCGCCGGAAGTTTCACCGGAAAATTTCCAAAACCTCCGTTAAGCTTCGAAGTAAGCCCGTAGATATATATAGTGACTAGAATGTTCATATAGATCAATTTTACGTTCATAAACGTTCAATTGGTTGAGTTTTGTGTTTGACATGTTTAAAGAACTAAGAATCGTAAATCATCATTTTGATGTTAAAACTATGAATTAATGATTCCAAAATGATCTATGAACCTTGGAGAACACTTTTATATACTTTAATTAAAGTTTGGTGAGTAAAAGTGACATTTCCGCAAGTTGGCTCGAGGTAGAAGACGATGGATAATCGATTATCAACTTGAAAATCGATTATTCATCGTTCTGCAGATTTTTTGAACAAAGCTGAGCAACAGTCAATTATCAGAATGTGATAATCGACTGTCAGCCCTCTCTGAAGTTTGATAATCGATTATCAGAGTGTGATAATCGATTATCAGCCCATTCTGAACATCAGACAGTAGATTATCAGAAGTGACAGTAGACTGTCACCCTACACTATTGAAGAAAATGAAGCTAATAGCTAATAATTGAATTTCCTATCATATATTAATCAATT